AGTGTCCTCCATCCTCTACTAGAACCTCCCAGGAGGAAGGGCCGAGGAGGTGGCAGAGGCACGGACAGCATCCCCTGCTTCCTTGGCTAGCACAAGTGTTGGTCACAGCAAAGAGCAGCTTCCGAAGCACACTTCTAAGAGAAGGAAGCGCCACAGTGCCACGCTCGGCCACTGCCTCAGGATCCGCGCTGCAGGCCTGGGCGGTGGTTCTCATGAAGGGGGCGGGTAGAGGAACAGTGCTCGTGTGGACGCGTCCACTGCAGGAGACCCAGGCTCCGCGGCCACCCATGACCAAGCAGCCTATGAGGGCGCCCCGAGGCACCTTCTGGAGTCACCAGGACGGCCTGCAGGCCACAGCCGCCTCCCTCTGTGGGCCACACGGGGGAGCTTAGACACGTGCTCCCCAACTTCCCCAACTTCGCCTTTGATGTGGAGCTCAGTGTATGAAGAAAGGCTGGCCAGCTGCCCTGTAGGAGGGACCAGGAAGAGCCACCCCTGCTGGGAGGAAAGACCGGTCCTACAGCTATGGGCAACGGGCCAGCTGGGATGGAGCCCGTCACCAAGTGCCGCCGGCATTTCTCAACCCTGCAGTCCCATTACAGATGGGGCCCCTGGGACCAGGCTGGACCAACTGCCCAGAGTCACTCAGCCGGTAAGGCACGGGGCTGGAGTGTCATTCCACGATGCCCACCAGAGCCTCGCCTGCTGCTCAGCGCCTGGCCCACCCTGACCACTCCCTCCACTCCTGAAGCACAGGCGGGGTTGGAAGTGGCCCTGGGAGGACGGGATGGACCAAGACTGCCCACAGTGTCTCAGAAGCCAGAGCCTCTGTGAGGTGCCCAGAGCAGGCTCCAGGACAGACCCCAAACTCTCTTGCCATCCTTCATTTGCAGTCAAAGAGATCTCTCTGCACACCACCCAAGTCCCCATTAGGGAAGCCCCACTAGGAAAGGACACTGCCACCTACCGATTCCTCTTGGTTTTCACACTTTGGTATTCCCTGCCATCTTCCGAACTGGATCCATCGCTGCTATCAGCTGAAAGAAAATCAAATCAATGAGGCTGGAGGCTCAGACTCAGTGCTCGGCACACCAGCAGCTCCTCTGGAAACCGAGGAAACAGACAGAGGCGGACTCCGACCCAGCAGCTAGCCTTCTCCTCCCAGGGGCACATTGCCATGTCTCAGCAGAAGAGGAGCCTCACTCTGCCGACCGAAGAGAGGCCCTTTTCAGCTGGTTCCATTTAGAGGCTGCTGCACTTTCCAGGGGGGTGGCATGTCCAGGGTGGACAACACCTGACCCTGGGCCCGGCCCCAGGAGGAGCCTCCCTCCCACTCCTCTGTCTCCTGTCCAGGTGGTAAGGGAACCGCCAGCCCAGCCACCTCCCGTCCACTGGCTAATGAAGGACACTCAGCAGCTGCCTCGTGGTGCCCCAGAGCTCCGACCTCCTTCCCGGGAAGCTCACATGAGTGCACCCTTGGGAGGGGTGACTCCGTGCTGCCTGACCTGCGCGTCTTCTCTGACACCCCGACCACTCACTTCCCACCAAATCCTACTGTGACCTGCCGCCCTCTGGCCCGGCACAAATCACGAGCCACTCGAGCAGGAACAAACTTTATTTCCAAACTCCCCCGAACGCCACCCACGCGGCTTTCTCCAGGACACACCACACACCATCGGGAACTCCCTCCACCAGAACTTCACCAACCAACGCCAACTCCCCAGGAATCCCCGCCAGAGCTCAACCGGAACTCAACGGGAACTCCGCGAGAACTCAAAAGTACAGGCAAAATGCCAGGCGCCATCCCAGCTCGGCTGTGGCTCTCAACAGTGACCCATTCTAGGCTCGGCTCATGAGAGCTGTGCTCTGCTGTGGGGTGTACAGGGCTGTGGGTGAGAGCGGGGTCGGGCTCTGGGGGCTCATGGCCTACCTGAGCCCTGGCTGCTTACCCTTCAGTGGCCTCGTTTCACCAACAGCCTGCCCACACCCCCTCCTTCCTGCCATGCACACAGCCACATGGTCACCCTCCCAGGGGACCCCAACTGCTTCCCAAGCAAAACCTGGCTGTGGGCCAGCCAGCCCTCCTCCTCCAGCAAGGCCAGCAGTTGTACGTTTCCTGGTGTGCAGTCTCCACTAGGACAGGGACCCGCACAGGGAGGGTGGTCCTTCTAAATGCAGCTGGCTCAGGACCCAGGCTTCTTATAGGGCAGCAAGTGAGGACGGCGCTCGGGCCCCAGCAGAGCCCACAGGGGCTTCCCAGGCTCTTGGTGGCCCTCTGTCCCTCTCACCTGGAGCAGTGTGACCTGACTCTGCCCCCGGCTGTGTCCACACTTCATGCTGTGCAGACCTTTCCCCAGGCCTGCGTCCTGCCTAGGTGCCAGAGGTGTGAAATCCTGGCTCGATTCTGAAGAATGATCAGATTTGGGGGGGGAGGGGCTTATCCATTCATCTTCCAGGCAGATGAGGAGGGAGATGAAGGCGAATGGAAAGGTCAACCGTGGGAGGGACACAGAGCCCACTGACACCTTGGTTTACAAGGGCCCACATGACTCAATAATCCTAAGCCGGACTGTGCTCCAGGGAAGGCAGATGGGAAACACAGAAATCCTTAAACTGGGAAGAACGGAGCCGCACACTCACACCGCTGTTATCAAGAGGACTGTGCGTACTGTGGTCGGGTTGAGACGGAATGATCTCAGCACGGGTGGGGGGCTTTGCCTCTGGACACACAATTCAGAAACCATAAAGGAAAGTATCTGCAGCTTGTCTACATTTAAAAGCAGAAGACCAATGGGCGTCAGGCGAGAGGAGCCCTCAGGTGGCCTCTGCACAGTGAAGAGAGCGGAGGAGGTGGTGTCCTGCTGACCACAGGGAGGGACAGGAAGAGTGTGACCAGGCCACGAGAAGAAGGTCCTCTGAACAGTACAGACCAGCCAATCAGCCAGGGCCTGAGGAGGGTTTAACAGAGACCCCCCAGAGGGAGCCCGCGCTCAGAAGCAAGGGGCTGAGACGTCACGCCTCCTCCAAGAGAAGGGGAAGCTGCCCCACCCTGGGCAGACGATTTCCTAAATGTGACACCGTAACAGCCAACAAGACACCGATGCACTGGACTTGACCAAAATGAAAAAGTCACCTCTCAAAAGACCCCGACAACACAGCGAGGAAGACACACCAAGAAAATATCGGTGGGTCCCAGACACAGGGCTGCCAGGGCCCAGAGGAGTGGGGCACAGGGAGCTCACGCCCAGTCCTCGGGAGACTCTGGTCTGTCACCATGTGATGACAGACCACATCGTGGACATACTTGATGCCACTGAAGAATACACTTAAAACTGGCCAAATGGTGAGATTCATGTTGGGAATTTTTACCATAATAAGAAAAACACAGGAATGACTCATCTTATGCCAAAAGAAAATGAAAAGACAAGGGAAAATATTAGAAGACTATTCCAGCCGAAGCCCACTGACACCTTGATTTACAAGAGCCCACATAACTCAATAAGGAAGACGAGAGCTGAAGTGCTTCCCAGGAAGACAGAACAGACGAGGGCCGCAAACCTGGGAAAAACGATTCCATTTTGCTCAAAATTAAAGAAAGGCCAATTGAAACAAAGAATGCCTTTTGGAATTAAGTTTTGATGACTGACGGCACTGACACAGAACGAGTCCGTGGGAGTGGGAACAGATCGTCCCTTCGAAGGAAGATGTGCTGCTACTTGTCACAGACGTGTAAGATGCATGTACCTTTTGATTCGGCAACGCCAGTAAGGCCCAATCACACAATAGATGCACTTACAAAACGTGAGTATAAGTGCGTGTGCTTCTAAGTCACCGAGTTCATGGAGTGAGGTTGATGGGGAAGTCCCCAGCCTGTGAGCCCGGGTCTTCCCTGCTGGGAGGAGAAGTGTGGACACCTGTCATGTCTGGCCTTAAGGTGGGGTGGGAATCCCTGCTAAAACTGACTTAAGTCTCAGGAGTTGTGGGTGAGGCCTCTGACCCTAACCCTAACCCAAGGGACCAGGTGACCACCACGTGGTGAGGACAAGGGAGTCTGTCCTGGCACCACCTGCCTGGAGCGCAGCACTCTCACCCAGGCATTGGACAGAACCTCCAGTCCCTCCCTTCAGGGTGGGTGTTCCAGGAGGTGGCAACGCTGCCCAGCACCCACACGGGCCTGCCAGGCATGCTCACACCCCACTTCAGTCCCTGCCTTGGCTTCAGGAAGCAGCTGTCCCCCGCAGAGGCGCACCCTGGAGCGAGCTGGCTGCAGGATGTGAACTGCTGGGAGCTCTGGGGCTGACTGCAGAGACCAGCAGGAAGAGACTTTGGCCAAGCGACTTCAACCAGAGCAGCATCAGGTCGCTCAGAGGAACAAGACATCAGGCCTTCTCCCATCCCCTCCCGACCTGGGGCAGTCCCATGGGGTGGCTGAGCACTGCTGGGAGGGCCTGCCGGAGTGCCATGGCCCCAGGGCACGTGGCTTCCTGCCCACAAATGCTCTTAGCTGGAGGCCTGTGCTAGGCCCAGGGCAGGTCACCAGAGTCCCTAGGACTTAGGAGGGAACTGTGTCCCCCCTCCCCACTTCCTTCCTCTGGAAAGTGCTGCTCCAGCCCTCCTGTGTGACAGTCAGGGGCCCAAGGCACAGAGGGTGACGAGGCCTCCAGGAGGTGAGAAAGTGCAGTGCTAGAGCCTGGCTCAGCCCCTGCCCTGTCCATCAGCCCCCCTTGTGGAGGCCAAACAGCTGACAGGCTCGTGACAGGGGTGCAAGCTAAGGCCCAGCAGCGCCCAGCACCCAGGCTCGTCCCTTCCCTAACAGGAGCTGCCTGGAGGATCCCACAGGAGTTCAACAAGAGCACCACCCTCTGCTTCCTGCCTCTGTCAACGGGGAGCCTCCCAGGGATCACCTGCCCCTTGCCATTCACCTGGCATGTCACATAGAGAGGCTGACCAATGCGGCCACCGAAATGCAACTTGGTAAACAAGGCGCTCACTGTGCCAAGAGCAGGCCTGACCCTGGGTGGCAGGAGGTGACCATACTGACTGCAGCTCCCTCTCAAAGGACGCCTCCCTCAGGGTGGGGTGATCGTGCTGTGTGGGGGGAGCACCTCCCACACCCACCTGAGTCCCTGGACTCCAGGAAGCACCTTGGCTTATGAAAGCTCAACATGTGTATCTCGGTGGCTCTGGGTCCGGCTCGGCGCCAGGGCCACCTGGTCCCATTGTGATGTGCAGACCCAGTGCATGCTGTCTGGACCAATTAATACTTGGACAAATGACCATTCACTAACCGCAGCTGTGTTTACCCACAGGCCAGTTGTATACCCTGCTTGGTGGAATAAACGTCATCATGAACCACATTCGTCCTGAATATCAACAACTGAAATGTTTGCCGAACAATCAAAGCTCAGGAGCCTCCTGACTGTACCTCAGGCAGGGGAGGAGGGGAGGGGGCATGGGGCAGCCCACAGCAGGCCTGGCCAGGCCTCCTTCTCAGACCGATTTGGGGTGAAAAGCCCAGTTCACAGGGATAGAGGCCTGACCTTGGCAACTTGATTAATCCCTGTTCCTCAATTCTGTCTTCTTCACAATGGGCATAAAGACCGTGGGGCACAGAATAGTGCCTCTCAGAACATGGGCATCCCAACCTGGAACCTGATCTGTCCAGTGTTTGGTAGGGGGAGTCCAGTTTGCTCCAGCTTGCCTTAGGATGGGAGACCCTCCCCACCACCCAGGTGGACCCATGGGAGAATAGGAGAGGATGCAAGTCAGACTTGAGATGCCAGGGTGCTAAGCTGAAGCTGGAGGAGGGCACCATGCGGCAGGGGAACCAGGTGCCTCTGGAAGCAGGAAGAGTGGGGTGGGGATCCTCCCCAGAGCCTAGGAGCACGGCCTGCCCAGGCCCGGGGACTCCCATGGACTCCACCCTCTCTACCTGGAAGCTGGCCGTGTGTCTCGTTTGAAACCTCCTTTTTGGAGATGATTTGTTATGGCAGCAATTGGTATCCAATACCATGGCACTCACCTGCAGCCACACATG